TAAAATAAAATAAAGTTGCTTACATGTAAAGATAAAATGTCTATAGCCAAAACTATTATTTCTACAAGTTTTTACAAAAAAGAAGAAGGGGTTTGGGGTGAATATATTGACTTCTGAGTTTTGCTCCTTAAGAAACTGTGGGATTTTGAACAAAGTATTTCTTCCTGCTATAAGACTGTAATTCACTGTCAGAAGCTATAAGATATATTATTGGAATTGTTCTGTTAGCAAGTGGTAAAATTTAATTCTCCGCACTTGCACAGTGAAATATATGTGAGCTGAGTCTGTGTTAACAATACCTGGTTTATTAACTACAAAATGTGGCACCATATACCATTTTCTTCTATAAGAATAACCTAACTTGAACTTATTTTTCTAATAAAGAATTGGAATATTGTGTTGTGTTGTCAATGAGGGAGGGGTGATACTCGGAAAAATTGTTTGATATGATGAGGATGAGCCTCAAAACGAAAAAAGGCATTCGTAAGATTGCGTAACAATTCTTCCTATAGTTTCACGGTCTTTTTTTTTTTGTTTGATATTACTCAGGTTGCAAACAGATTTGTGCAAACGTGTCTTTTTGTATATGCATCTCATTATTAATGAGCATATGGCACAAAAGATTGAAAATTTTTTACGTCATCTTAACCCATATTTTTGTTCTCATCATTCAAACCATATACATTAATGCATTTTCGATTCGTAAATTAAAATTTAAATGATTATAACGGATGTATAAGTTACCAAATTCTTGTGTGTTTGTTCACCTGAATACAAATTGATGATTTCCTGACAAATGGACAATATGTTCTGGAACATAATATCGATATATATTGACAAAATATTGTTTGTCATCTATACTTTTTAACCTTTTAGTTCCTGTACAAAATAATAAAACTGAAAAAATTGATTTGGCAAATGTCAATAACAACGAAAACTACAAGCACTGACGGAAATTTACAAATATCTGATGAAGTTTCCCTTTATCTCAAAAACTTGTTAACGATTCATAGCAGAGAGGTATAGGATAAAATTATTTTTGATCAAAATGTGTTATGAGGTTGAACTATCTATAGTGTATAGCTCTGCAAAAACACAGTCATGCGTGATGTAATGTCGTTTTAACATTATTTTAATGAAGACAACAGCCATCTCACAATTCCAAAAGAAAAGAAATCAATCTTTTCTTTTCTTTTTTTTTTGTTTTAGGTTTACATCTCACATTCATTTTTCTTTCTCCTTGTAAATTTTCAATACGATGAATTATCTCCATTCGGCTAGTAAGAACTTAATGACTTCTTTTTTTTTTCTTTTTATTAAGTAAATGCACACTTATTGTCATTTCTATCATTGAAAATACCGGTATGTGTAAAATAAAACGCATTTGATCTATAAACAATCTTTACACAAGATTTTAAACTTTTAATGTTCTAAGTAAGTTTATACAATATACTTTACCCAAACTTTTGATTCATTTTAGTAAGAGCTCTTTTGCAATCACCGTTATCAAAGTAACTGTCTTGCTGCAATGGGACAACAATCTTAGTCCAGGAGACAATGCCATGTGATAATCAGATGAAAATTTTTAACTTTTTGAAAAGAATCCGTTGATTCTTTTAAAATTAAGATTATCAAAATAAATCATGATAATTGTTTCAATGTCACTCGTCAGGGGGCTTGAAATTTACTCTTATTTGTGAGAATCTTTTTTTTTAATCTAATGTTACAAAAGAAATCGTGTCTCTCATTTGTTGAAATATTTTATCGACACATAGATTGATTACCTCTCATGTTCAGACAGGTAGTTTTCTAACATCTTTTTTTTTTAATTTCCATTCAGAGCTAAAACCGAGAGAACATTAGTAAGAGACAGATTAGGAAATAGGGTATTGTCACGAACTATTGCAAACATGCAGATATTATTTCATTTTTTATTTCCATTGGCTTTTTTCACATTTTTGATTGATTCATATTCATCACTCACTTTTTTTTTTTAGGAATCTTTAATCAAATATGTGTATTTTATAGACTGCATTTGTGGGTGTATATGATATGAGTGCATTTACCAGTCAATATTATAGCTTAAAAGATAATTAATTAAAACAAGAAATCAATTCCAACAACCACTTATGATGTTTAAAGTGACAAAGCTTTATTGACATTCTTAACAAGCAAAAAAGCTTTTGCAATTACATATTTACACATCATATCTGTTTATCTTATAAAAGCTTCCAAACGTAATTTCGTTTTCAGTACTAATGCAATTGATACAAGTAACGCAAGGGCACGGCACAATGATAAAATTCAGAATGGAATACAAAAAATATAGGCAAATCCAACTAAATATATTTTATAAATCTCAGGAACAGTTTGATCATCATACATCTATACTTGTATATTTTGGATGGGTGGTTTTATTCGATTCAAATTATTGAAAAGGGTTTTTTCAATTGTTTTTTTTTCAATTTTCTAATTATTTTAATTTTTAAATAATTTTCTAGGACGGGGGAATAATGGTACAATTCCTGACTTCATAATATAAATAAGGCTCTTTAAGGACCCTTATCTTCGGAAGGGAAAATTACTCAATTCTGAGAAAGATTTTTGTTGTCAATAACTATCGTCAGAAATACATTGTAAAAGATATATAGATATGCATTAAAAAATAATTTCGAATAACTTAAATTTTGCTGTTTCTTTTCTTTTCAGTAAGTTTTTTCGTTGATTTAAAACTTTAATCGAAAGAATGAAAACGTCAAGCAAATAGGTAATACAGGTTATTGCCAATATTGAATAGCAAATTCAACCGAAAGTAAAATATCTAGTAACTTTATGTATACTTTGATAGAGGAAAAAAATGGCCGGAAATTCCAAAAATAAAAAAATTGTAAGAAGTTGACAAACAGACAGACAGTACGAAGGACAGTTGAACAGAGAAGCAAAAAAACCAAATTTTTACCAGAAAGCTTTATTTAACGTGACCATCAAATAAGTAACTATGACTTTTAAATTTTACACTCAAAGACACAGTCCATTGTACTGTGTATAAATATATGTATACGTGAATGTCTTTATTAAATGCGATCAAACTTAATAACCCGTGGAACTTATTCAAAGAGAAGAGGCAAAAAGGATGTTTTAACGTGCTAAATATGTCATGTTCTTAAGAAGTACCTGTAATTAATAAAATTCCATTATACGCTGCATTTAGCATCATATTCACGATTCATTGTTTTCCTTCAGTTTGATGAAGTTAAAAGCTCTTACGCCATCATTCTGTCTGATCAGTGAAAAGGAAATTGAGTATATATACGTTCTGAAACAGTGCAACAGGAAGAAACATCTTTGTTTCAGCAACTGAGCCTGTAATTTAGTTCCATTAACAACCGTTAATTGCCCAGCACTAAATGCCGTCTCATCACGACACTTTTACGTGACTTCCTCAGTGATGTTTCCAGTCGGAACACATTGGCAGGTATTTCGGTTATCCAGGATGTATGCAAATCCACAATGACATACAATTAAGTATGTAAAGCATGAAAATTTCTCGAGTCATGGTATTGACGTAAAGGCATTTTATCGGAATCTCGGGTCTAATATTCAAAGACAATTTCCTTTTGCCTGAGGCTATCGCATGGGCTTCATAACTACAAAATCTTTTTTGTACTGAAGGCGTTCATTTTTTTTTTCACAAAAAGAAGAAACCTAGGCAAAGTTCAAGGATGTTTGCAAACAAAAACTCAATACACAATAAACACGAAGAAATATTTAAAATTATGTTAAATTGATGCGGAAAACTGTAGTCGTCCTGTATTTTTCAATTATTTGGGGGGGGGGGGGGGGTGTCGGTATGATGAGTTGTCAATCCAGTTTTTTGGTCATAAATATTCATGAAATCATTCTTTACTAACTTGGTCATTTTATGTATTTATGGATATAATTGTGAAAATGGGTAGGTAGTTTTCTTTGTAAAATCATCTTTTAACTTACACATCCTTCATTTTTAATAAAAGAAATTGGAAAATTAAACTATTTTACTAATTTGAATGTTAGTAAACTTCATTATCATTGCTTCGATGAAATTGAATTCATGTTTCCTAGATTAATTTCAATTAAAATTAGTTGGTAACATTATGTCCTTTTTAAAATCAAACGTTTTAAGCACTTCTAAGTACTATTAAATAGAATGCGTTTGCTACAAAGTATTCATTTAAATAATATTACATGAAGAGTGTTTCAACCCATGTTAAAACCTCTGTAGTCATTTTTTTCCCTTTGAACTTATTGTTAGCTATATGAAGCTATACATGTCTGTTAAATATCTCTGGATTTGGATTGCTTACGACTTCAGTCTTCAAATACATATGTAAACTTTTATTTCTATTAGAAACCATTGAAACAAAAAAGAGCTCAATCCTTTGCATTAAAATATTTCTTTTTCGATTGCTAGATTTATTTTTATTTTTTTTATTTTATTTTATTTAATTATTTTTATTTTTATTTATTTATTTATTTTTTGATATTGAAATTTTGAAAATGAGCATCCACACAACTTTTTCTTATATTAGTATACATTGTTTTCAGCAAAATAACATTTTTAAAAATATTTCTAAGTTGCATCTTTGTGAACAGTTTAACACTTTAAAACTCAATCAGATTCAATATCTGTAACTTATATATTTGTCTTATGCACTACATCTGGGAATGCATCATATTTCAAAAAAGCATGTCTGTATTTTTTTTAGTGAAATCACTTATTTTCGTGGGGGTCATTTCCATAAAAAAAATTGACTCCTCGAAAATAAGTAACTTAATTTACAATATAACCTTAAGCGTTCAGATGTACATAAAATCCATCTACTGATTCATATACAGGTGAAAAGACCAGGCTAATGTTCTATAAACATTTCTAAAATAATGAGACTAATAAAATATTGAAATATTTTAAAAATATTAATGACATATAAATTTTCAATATTGTCCATAACATTTATACAAACCTTACTGGATATTTCAGTCCCTAAGTCATAGCATAGTGCTGCTCCTAGACATTTCAATGTCCTCAATCACTGCATACCTTTAAGTGCCTTGAAACACAGCAAGTATTATGTCTGATCGAAAGCATCCAATGTCTGCAAATTATCTACAATCAATATGAACTAATTAGTAGGTCACTGGCCGTGGCCGTGTGCCTTACATTTGTCGTTTTAATTAAAAACAGAGTTTGCATGCAATTAAGCTAGTTTTAATGATATTTATTTTGGGATTTTTCAAACATAATAATATGTAAAAAGTAATTTAAATAACAAATAGTGATCAATCTCATAAATCGAGAAAAGAATACGAATCGTGAAAAACAGAGGTGGAATCAGGTGCCAAGTAGGAGTAAGAATCCCCTGTCGACCGGTCACACCCACCGTAAGGCCTCTGCACTAAACACGTAGACGGAGCAAAATTTGTATTTAAAAATAACAATGACCTATAATTTGGTTTGAAACATGTTATATAAAATACAACACAACGATAGGTTATATGCTGATTTTAAACGAGGTTCTGTATGCTTTGTCAAATACCTGTACTTTCCGCCAAACTGCAATTTCGTCCTATCTGTACAGTAGGACACAGTAAATCAGTTATATTTGCATGTTATTGAAGATATATAAAAATAATCTCTTACATATGATCAGATTTTTTCAAACAAATAATGATAAAAAGTGATTAATTTTAATCAAGTTTCCAGTTCAGTAGCATGTTTAAAATAACTTCTTAAGGAAGGTTTTTTTCATTGAAACTAGAAAATCATTCCTTTGTACTGATCATGGAAATTTCCTATACAGTAATCATTTGAATAAAAAAAATTCCATCCGAACACTGACCTGAATTACCAGTCCCTTACAGAAAAATGCATGCAGTGGGTATGTGTCGTGATGAATTAAATCCAGCAGTTGAGAGACTTCGATCCGTCCTGTCTCATTATTCAAAAAAATATGTTTAATTCAGATCGACGACTATTCTGGATCTACAATACTTAGTAATGTTTAAAATCTTTTTTCCTTTATTTACTCATAATGTTCTTTCATTTTCTTATATTCAAATGATTTATATTTAATAGAAACAAGTTTAATCAAAAAAGAGACATGATGATGCCTTTATTTTGATTTGAAAATTTAAATTCCTTGAGCACTTTCACTTTAAGAAAAGAAATTCTACACATTTCACTTTTAAAATGTAGACTTCATTCCTTCAAAATTTGAGAAAGTTAAAATTACTATTTCAAGAGGATAATTTTAATTTGACAAATTTTGGTTCTTAAAATACTTCCGCCTCAATATCTGAGTGTAAAAAATTTAATTTATTTTATTGTCTTGTCGTTAGACAGTAGTTTTTACTCTAATAAATCGTATTTGCATTAAACACAGGTAATTCTGAATTTAAGTTTAATAAAACCAAATTACATCATAAGCAAAGTTAATTCTAATAATTCATTGATGATTTGTAATTTTATCTTTTTATCGGTCACTTACAAAATTAATTTTATTGTGAAAAATCATTCTTATTCTACATAAAAGTACTCTGATTAAGGTGATATTAAAAGGGTACTGGAGTTGCTAATTGATATTATTTTCATTCGTATGTTGCAATTGACTTAATATGTCAAAGTGAACTCAAAATAAAAGACACAACAGAATCGAGTACACTTGTTTCATACTTGGCTGATTTACTGACCACAGACCTAAATGGCCAACTAAAACTTAACTACTTGTATACGACAAGCGAGACGACTTGAACTTTTGGTATATTCCCTTATTTACTTTGAAATATTCCACCTGCATATTGTGTTATGTCTCCCAGCTGATTCGGTATGTAAGAGCATCTGATTACGATCATATTTCAAGCCGATACAGGCTACTGACAAATAAGTTGATGTAACCGGACTTTCAACAATCTCGCATGAAATCAGCATTTTGCAAATTCTGTGGTCGTTATAATGACCTCGTTTGCAAATACAACCTGTCTTTGGGTCGTATTTTAACTGGCATGTTCCATGCCAATTGTTAGGCCATTGTTTGTATTCTAACTAAATTTGATTACGGATTACCCTGTATACCTGATCAATACAGAGGTCTTACTGGGGTGTGACCGGTCGACAGGGTATGCTTGCTTCCCTAGGCATTCTGATTCCACCTGTAGTTTTTCAGAGTACCTGTCTTTGCCCTGTTTACAATTTGTATTGTTTAAATGATTTATTAGATCGTTAACTAATCGTTATCTTTTTCATTGTTTACAATGCATCAATTGTAATACCCAGGAAGGATATTAAAATATCCATAATTACATATCATTTTATTAAGATTTCTTTTAAATTAAACACAACCTGTATTTACCGTTTACTTAACTACATACCTTCATAAATGAGACAATATTGAATCAGGTAACTCACTGCTCCAAGACTCAAGTGATCTGTAAAGTAGAATAAGTATCCATGTTAAATTGATTGTAGATTATAATCTATAAAATTTTATGGGTTTTTTTTAATAAAGCGTAATAAAAATGTATATCAGGAGAATATGCCTGATCTATATAGAAATACATGTATGTGCCAAGCAACTCTCAATGCGATCAGTCAATAATGTATAGGATAAAGAGACTGGATGCTATATAAATATGAAATCTAACAATATTAACATTGATATAAAAGAGAATGATGTCTGTTCCCACAGGAACTTTGGAAACTCTCGATTTTGGAATAGAAATGGCGTATAAAACTAAATGACTCCATTTACCACCCAACTACTACCACATCAGAAGAAGGAAATTGGTAAATAACAATCAATCCCGGTGCTTTGGAGATTTATAATGTATCCTTGAATTATTTTATCACCTTTTCATTATCAGTTACTTTAAGCTGCATATCAATTGTTTAGAATGGGAATAATTTATACATTCGATCGATCGGAATTACTGGTAGGGTTATTTCAAGGTAATGTTGAATCAAAGGCATGATTCCATTGTTCTTTGTTCTTGATTCTGCAGGAATTTTTTTTTCTATTGATCAACATATCTATCTACCTAGTATACCTTCATTTTTTTGTTTTCATCTTAATCTCCTACACTATAAGTAGTCTTTTTTCCCGGGTACAAAGGCTTGTTTGTGTAAATTAAATTTTCGTAGCGATTGGATCGAAAATGAATTTTATTTGAGTTTGCAATTATAAAATGATAAAGTGCAGTGGTTCACATTATTCATTAAATGACCTTGTCTGTATAGAAATTTATCCTCTGTTTTCATATATCCAATTCTAAACATCAATTGAAAAGGGGATACTATATGATTAATATTTCAAGAGAAAATATCTGCCACTTGTGTTCTTGAAATGAAATAGGAGACGATTTCGATTACTTATTTTACTGCATTAATTCATATTAAGTATTCTAGACTTGAATATTTATCAAAATATTATCATACAAATCCTAATAATTTTTTAAGTTTGACACAAATAACAAAAATCAACTGATCAATTTTAAATCAAAGGAACCATAACTAAGAGAGGTGCTCTCTTGGTTTATAACTCTTTTTTTCACGCATGCATTATTGTAAATATTTATATTATTTGTAATATATTCCCTACACTGAAGATATAGTTTAAGGGAGTTAACAACCGTCTTGTCGTCTTGCTTCTCTCTACCTTGAAAAACACAAGTTCTTTTGAGATCAGCATTATGGAGAACAGGGTAAGTGAAAATGTCTTCTTTTTTTTTTTTTTTTTTTTTTTTTTTTTTTTTTTTTTACTAAAATTTTGGATATTTGTGTACATTCATAATAGAATTGAAACATTGAAACATGAAAACATATCTCGATCAAATAAATAAATAAATAAAAATCTATTAACAGTTCCAACCAAAAAAATCTTCTTAGCTACATTTTAGAAAAATATGATAAATTTCTCAGAAATCGGATCAAGGATTTCTACATGGAAAGGAGCATGTACCTAAAATTTTTGACAATCAAAAATTTAAAAAAAGAGTACAAAAATAATTATCGTTGTAATAATATATGTCAGTTAAAAAGGACCAAAATGTTTATATATTTTTTTATTATTTATTGAAATTACATTTTACATCTTTATAATCAAAATAAATAAAACAAGAGGCTACCAAGACTAAGAATTGCTAACTTTGCTGTAACCCACGAAAAAAATTACAAAAATCAATCTTGTTTCTTTCACATTTAACATATATCTAATAATGTAAATAGCCAAGAAAACGAAAAAATCTATTTTTTTATAATATGACAACAACATAAATAATATAAACATTCAGAGGTTATTACCTTTGAATGCCGAATTCACAATCCATATTCTTATGGGCCCAGACTAGCAAACTGTACAAAAGACATTACAAGAAAAAAGAATGGAATTAGGACCAAAAATCAAAGTATGGAATGAGGAAAGCACCTTTCAAAATATTTAGAAATGTATAGTTTCCCCGGTCATGAAGGAAATTACTTTGAGTGAAATATGGGGATAACGAACAGTAATCAAGCTCAAATGTCCATGGAAACAATACTAACTGGGAGCAGAGCAAACACGGACATCTAAAAACATCAGAGGTGAGATCAGTTGCCACGGAGGAGTAACCCCTGCTAACCGGTCACACCCGCCGTGTGCACCTTGCCATAAGCGGACAACCGGAAAAATCGGTAGACAATTCAGCGTGAAAATTAAGGCCTAACAATTTGTATGAAAAACGTCAGTAAGCATTCGACTTAACGATAGATTTTATTTGCTGACAATGTCATTGTATCGACCATAGAATCTGCGAAATGTTGACTTTAAACGAGACTGTTAATGTCCTTGCATCATCAACGTATTTGTCAATAGCATTACTCGCTTTAGAAATTGTTCGTACGTAGAGCATGCTCTTGCGTATTGAATCATCTGGGAAACATAAACTCCATATGCATGTGATAATGGTATACTGCTGCATTAATAAGGGAAGTTGACGATAGAAAATTGAAGTCATCACGTTTATCATTAAGTTTTGTTGTTATGTTATCATTAATGTCTTTTCCAGTAAAATATTTAAATATGAAACAGATGTGTCAGACTCTTTTATTTCTTTTATTTCGAGTTCAAAGGGATATAACGAATCAACATAGGTATGAAAATGAATATTGTTAATTGATAAAACGTCGTCGATATATGTAAATGTTGAATCGAAGGCCACAGCAAGAGACTTTTCATGTAGAAGTTTTTGAATAAAATCTGCTTCATATTAATACAAAATTAGATCTGCTAATAACGGGGAGCAATTAGTACTCAACAGCTTGTTGGAAGATTGATCTCCAAAACTACATAGATGTTGTCAATCAGAAACTCAAGCATCTTTTTAATATCAACTCGGAGTACGTGTATGTAAAATCATAAGGTTTTTATTGAAAATCATGTTTTTTTAATTGAAAAGGCTATTGAAAAAAGAAATAAATGTTTTTGTATGTATTCATGTCACCTAAGTCGATAAAAAAAATAGGTAGCAACTGTTCTTTCGCCAGGCCCTCGGCATTTTGAAGTGAAAGTTGCGGGTCCTTCGGACTAGACTTTAAAAACCGAGGCCCCATGTCACGGTAGGCGTTGGCACGATAAAGAATCCTCACTGCTCAATGGCCCTGAGTGCCGAGTAAAGGCCTAAATTTGAAGCCTTTCAACGGTATATGGTGACGTCTGTATATCAGTGAAAAAATTCTCGAAAGGGATGTAAAACAACATACAATCAATCAACCAATCATTTCTAAGAGGTAAGGGAACAAAGGTTAGCAGACGAAGCTTTAGTTCTTCATTTCCTAGTAATAAAGTAGTATACAGATATAGCAAACCTGTGAACTTAACTTATTTCATTATGTCCATAATCACAGCCAATTGGTATTTCATCAGACTTAAATTCATTTGAACGAAAATAAAAGTTTGTAATACTAGTAACCAGGAATCGCTTTAAGCATGTTCACTATAAACAATTACATGTTCTGCTGTTAATGATCGACATATCAATTTTTGATGCTGAAGATGATTGTATACATGTATATTCTATTCTTTTTATTCCAGAAATTTTTTGATACCATTTGATTGTAAATTTTACTATTCTCCATATTCAAGTAGATCTACATTTTTAATATTTTTTGTTGTTGTACCTTTTTTGTTGTCGCAATGTCCTAATTTATATTCCATGTGTATTCCATAAGCTGCATTACTTGTGTATTAAAAATGATAATGAATAAAATTAGTCAAAAATTAAATGCCTGCATTTTCGAACAGCCTGTCATAATTTTCAAAGCTGTTCAGACCAAACCAGCCATTAACGGAAGCTTAATATTTGGTCAAGCATTGGGCTGGCTAATGTTCCATCAATATGTATTCCATTCATCCAGTCAATTTTGAATGGTAAAAGAAAACATAAATTAAACCCAGGGATCTTTTATTAAATGATAAAGTTTAACTCATGATATGTAAAAATTAACAAAGTCTTAATGTAACATTTGTCTGCGAATATTTCTGGAATAATCTGAGATATCTTTTCATCTGATCCCAAGAAAACGTTTAATCCTTCTGCAGATACTCTTTCTGGTGTTTGTCTGAAAAGAAAATGCAAGAGACATTTAAATTTTGCACTCAGAGTTTTATACACATTATCAATTAGGACGCTATAATTCATCAACTTACCACTGTTGTCTCAGATTTATGTGTAGAACAGAAAGCATCCTTTGATGGCTTGACAACATCGGGCTGTACTGTATTTTTGTTTGATAGTTTCCTTTCACTCTGCATATGTAAAAAAAAAGAAAGAAATTTAGAAACTAAAACTAAATATGAAAAATATTTCTAATCAATGGTCACATTTGGAGTCGATTAAGGTTCATAAATACTCTGATAAGAGAGATTTCTTCATTGGGATAAATAACTATTATTCCCTAAAGCATGTCAAGTAAAAGGCGTTCTCTGTCATATTTTGTACCGCAAGGTATGCTGAAATTGTTCCCGTTTCAATTATATATTTTTTCTTCTTTTTTTAAAAAAAATCATTTTCATTAACTCAGAAATTTCATATATGAGTGAACATATAGATAATGAATCTAAATAACAAATATTAAACTTTTTTAGAAAAAGCAGATCACCATGTTTAAAATGAGTGCCCAAGCGATTAAAATCAGGAGGAAAATACCATTTTAGACCTCGATTTGGATATTAAGGATGACAAGAAATGATCAGCTTGTATAATGTTGACTGATGAAGGGTTGAACTTGAATCATTACAGGAAGTTATAGCTCAAAACTAAACTATCAAATCACCACCACCCCCCCCCCCCCCCCAAAAAAATAATTGAAAGACAAAATGATTTTATCCATTTATAATTTGGGTTTGAATTTGAAGTTTTTGATGGGTATTTCGGTATATATATGCAATAAAGGTACCTTGAATTCTTCAATTCCAAAGAGAAAAAGCTTTCTTGGCACAAAGTAATCATCGTTTTCATTTTCTCCGTCACATAAAGACTGTAAAAAGAAAAAAAAAACTAGAGCCGAGCTCGTTGCAATGCAACGAATAGGTCTTCCGTCGGAGCTCCGGACAGGACAGAGCGACCTTGAGTCAAGGTCATGCAACATTTTAAGGTTATAAACAATCCTGTAAGGGGCATCAACTTTCAATGTTTCAACAGTAGAAAGACAGTAAAGGAATGTAAAATTCCCCTGTCAGTGAACTTGAACTTGTCCAAATAACTTTGCGTCAAGCCATGACACATTCTGCAGCTGGTTAAGAGCAAACACCATCTTTATGTCACCGACATAAAAAAAAATCACAGTCACGTATTCTTTTGGACTATTCATCCAAAACATCATATTCTAAGTGACCTCGAATTTAAGTCAAGGCCATTACACACTCTGGATGATATATTTATCATCTTTTCAGTGAAATGCAAATGCATGCAATTTTTTCTATTACAAAAGTATAGACCTTTTTGTTTATTTGTTTGTATGTTGTTTAACGTCCCTTTCGAGAATTTTTCAATCATATGGAGACGCCACCATTTGCCGATGGAGATCTGCAAATTTTGATCTATACTCGGCACACATGGCCATTTAGCAGTGAGGCATCTTTTTCGTGCCAGCACCTACTGCCAGACGGGACCTAGGGCAGTTTGTACGGTCTCATCCGAAGGATCAGTCTCTGCGTCCCACTGTGGGATTCGAACCTGCGATGTAAGGATCAACTCCATAATCCACGACTCTAGAGCAGACACTCTTACCACTGCGCCACTTGGGCGACTAGACCTTTTTGAATTTTACACTTATTATATCAGTGACCTTGAACTTGCCTAAATGACCTATGTTAAGGTCAAAAACAACCTTTGAACAAATTATGAGCTTCCAGTGATACCCAATGACAAAGATATACCTGAAAAAGAATATTGCACTTTTCTGTTAGTGACCTTGAACTTGCCAGAAAGACCTTGGATCAAGGTCAAAACACATTTTTGGATCATAAGCAATCTCTGTATCAAGTAAAAGCTTCCAGTGATTTTATATAACAAAGTTATAGCATGTGGAAAAAAAAATATTTATCTGCCAGTGACCTTGAACTTGCCGAAAAAACCTTTGTTCAAGGTCAGGAAAACCCATCTCAAGCAATCTGAGAAAAAGTTTCCTGTGTTCCTCCCACCCCTTATAAATTTATAATCCAGGCACTAATTTTGCCACTTCTTCTGCCAGTCTAGTACTATGTTATCTCAAACCGGTGGATCATAAGCAATCTTTGTTCCAAGTATGAGCTTCAAAAGTTATAACACATACAGTAATCTTACAGTTTTCTGTCAGTGACCTTGAACTTACAGGAATGACCTTGGATGAAAGTCGTGTCAAACCCTTTAATTTTGTCATAAGCAATTTCTGTATCAAGTATGATACTTGCTATTTTTTTCCAATGACCTTGAACTTGCTGGAATGATGTTGGATCAAAACCATGACACACCTTCGGATCATTAGTAATCTTTGTACCTAGTATGACCTTCCAGTTTCTTCATAACAAAGTTATAATATCCTTGGCGAACTATCACGTACAGACGGACAGCTAGGCAGACGGACAGTGTGATTCCAAAAGACTCAAAACACCCCCACCCCAAACCCACACACTTCGTTTGGGGGGATATATAAATTCCTTTGTTAAATTATGAACACTCTTTCCGGCCCAAACCTTCTCCCTGGAATCAATATTTGAAAAAAAAAAAATGAATGTATGCTATGTTGGAAATTTTCTCATTCTAGTCCAGGGATTCTTGAGAATACTATTTTCAAATGACCCCATGCGCGGATCTAGATGGGGGTGGGGGCAGTTAAATGTATATACTAAACAAGAGGCCCATAGGCCACATCGCTCACCTGAGTAACTTTGGCCATGCTGTTCATTACCAGACTTCCCCCCTTGTAATACCTATTGTGGCCCCACCCTACCCCCAGGGGCCATGATTTGAACAATTTAGAATCTACACTACCCCAGGATGCTTCCACATAAGTTTCAGTTTTTCTAGTCCAGTGGTTTTTGAGAAGATTTTTAAAGATTTTTCCTATATATTTCAATGTAAAACTTGAGATTCCCCCTATTGTGGCCCCGCCCTATCCCCGGGGTCATGATTTGAACAATTTAGAGTCTACACTACTTGAGGATGCTTCCACTAAGTTTCAGCTTTTCTGGCTCAGTGGTTCTTGAGAAGAAGATTTTTAAAGGTTTTTCCTATATATTTCAATGTAAAACTTGTATTTCCTATTGTGGTCACGCCCTACCCCCGAGGGTCATGATTTGAACAATTTAGAATCTACACTACCCCAGGATGCTTCCAAAAAAAGTTTCAGCTTTTCTGGCCCAGTGGTTCTTGAGAAGAAGATTTTTAAAGATTTTTCCTATATATTTCAATGTAAAACTTGTATTTCCTATTGTGGCCCAGCCCTGTCCCTGGGGGTCATGATTTGAACAATTTAGAATCTACACTACCTCAGGATG